CCACAGCTGCGTCGATGCACTCTAAAGTCTTCGGGAAGATAACCAAACCATAAAGGTCTAATTCGAAAAGATCTATTGTCTTCCATTCATCTAGATGATTCTTCATCAGTTGCTTGATGTCAGACCAAGGAATTCCTTCCCCACTACCTTTGATTAAGTTCGGTTAGTTATTCATTTCTCGTATACTCCCACAACTTTTGCCAACCCATTTTTGAAAGTTTAACTTTTGATGTGCTTGATATAGGCTCACTCCAATCTGATCCTTTCACAGTGTAGCAGTGTAGTGTACTCTTCGATTGTGGGCACCATGTCCTCCTAGATAAAGATAAAACTGCTATACCTAGGATTCCATAATTGAACCAAGGCTCTGATTAAGGGCTCGTCTATCTTGACATAGAGCAGGAGTGCGATATCACCATACCGCTGGCTGAACTTCTGTTTCCGATCACTCTTCCAACTGTCCCAAATGCTTCGTAGCTCTTGGAAATCATTCTGCTTTAGGCTGACAGAGGCGTAGCTAACAAGTTCTGACACATAGCTTCCCTAAAGACTGTCTCCCTTTTTCTTTCTGAGTTTTTTTGGACTATAGTCGTACCTCGACATTTTTTATCTCTTGCATTACAACACCTTTGTCAATTAATGCATATTATTTGCGCAACTGACACCGTTTTATGGATCAATAGCCTTTTTTATGATGCAAATGCTAAAAATACAAACACGAAAGCAAAAGGTTAGTAAGATAAAAAAATATAAATGTTAGAAAAAAATAAAAATAAAGATGACACACAGCATGAGTAAGAAAATCATCATAGGTTTTGAAATGGGGTTTTGGGGTAGGCTCTAATTCTCTGTAGTCCCCTGGTTTAGGTTCTAAAAAAGGGTACCCGAGTTCTCCTTGTTGGTGCCCCCTTGGGCTTGCTAGACCCTTAGTCCTAAGCCCATTACAAGCTTATGTAGACTAAGTTAAACTAGAGATGATACATTACCTTATGCCCATACATAGAATAAATTCACACGAAGACATAAGGTATATGAATCTCAAGGTTACTTGCTAGCCCCATACGGAGAATAAATTCTCATGAGAGCGTCCATGTCACCCCCACTTAAAAACGAGTTTGGAGCTCGGGTATAGAGCCGTAGATGAAAAACAAGGTTGATAAGCTGAAACCACTGAAATAAATCATCAGTATAACTATTTATTTGAAAAGATAATCAAAAGTAAGTAATAAAGATCAAAAGTTACCTTAAAATTTAAACTTACCATTTTCATTAAACAGACAACTGGAAATTAACCTTAGCCTGACTCACTTACCTGTCCCCAGCAAAGTCTCCAAGTTATCGGAACCGTCTTTCGGGTAGGCCTGAAATTGAGCTTCGACGTGAATAAATGGGTTAGAGTCGCCACCGATCATTTATTTTACGAACAAATGGGTTGATCAGATACATTGATTTCTTACCTGATCTGCATCTTACCAGCGATGTATTGGATTCTGGAGTCGGTTACAGTCAAGGAAGGGTTAGCGCCCTTGACCTACCCTTTCGGTACTACTTAATTTTCAGTTATCTTTAATGAAGAAAATTGAAAGCTAAATTAAAAGGTAACAGTTGATCCTGATTACTTAAACCTCTGATTGATTTTAAAAGTGTACCCTTAAGATGTCATGAAAAGCGTTAGATAGGAAAAATAAATAAAATAAATAAAACCAAGCAAAAAAGGAAAAAAAGACTAGGTAAATAAATAATCTAAAAACAGAAGGTAAAAAAGAAAAAATAAGATAAAGTAATGAAAAATAAAATCAATAAAATCAATAAAAATAAAAATAAATAATAAAAACAAATAATAAAAACTGAAAATCAAACAAATAATAAAAAATATAAAAAAATAGTATTTAAATGAAATAAGAAAAAGAAGAAAAAAATATGTGTATATATCAGTAACAAAGAAAAAAATAGAGGAATAAAAAAATATATGTATATATAAAAAATGTTTAACAAAATAAAAAACAAACAAAAGAAAAAACTAAAAATATATATATAAATATTAATATAAAATAAAATTAATTAAATAAAATAAAAAATAAAAAATAAAAAACATATGTATATATATAATAAAATATAATATTTAAATAAATAAAAATAAGAAATAAAAAAATTAAAATGTGAAGGGACTGAATTGAAAGAAAAACAAATCGGGGGTCAATTTTAAAAGAAATTCGAGATTAAATTGAATTAAATGGGCCAAAATGAAATATTTAAAAAAACTGGGCCAAAAACACAATTGTCCCTCTTTTAATGAAAACACGCAGATCCTGTGTCCAGGTTAGGTCAACACGCGAGTCTAAGTATAAAACCTAAAACCCAAAACAAATTCTCATTTTCTCCCTAGGCTTCAAATAGATCAAAACCCTAAATTTCCAAACTTTCCACGTGTTCATCGTGTTCTTCAGGAAATAAAGAATACATCCACTTCAACCCGTTTCCGGCGACTACCGCCTTATCGGCCGCTGTAGAATGGCGTCGGCCGTTGTTCATCAGCATTGGGCCAAACATTTTTTTACACCATTCAAAAGGTTTTTCATCATATTTTCAAAAATAGGGTCGGTTTTTAAAAAATAAGCCTCGGGAGGGCTAGATCTGAGGAAAACTCCTCGGTTGCCCTCCCCCGATCATCGGTGTTTTGGTTTTTTCAGTCAAAATCGACGAGCAAAAAGAAGCAACACATGTAAAACCGAGCAAGGTAACAAGAAAATACCTTTTTATTCTCTTTCCCTTTCGAAAATTACAATAATTTTCTTGCTTTTTCTTCCGTATTTCCTTTTTATTTCAGTGTGATTTTCGTGTGTAATTTCTGGTAATCTCTTGGTGTATTTCGTATATTGTTTACATCCATTTATAGTGCTAAATTGTCCAATTTTTAGTTTGTTTTTTACTCCTATTGAGACTAAAATTGCTCATTTATTCTCGATTTGTCGAGAGTCCATTGTTTTTTGTTGACTTGGTGATATTAGTGCCGTGAACTATGGGGAGTGGTTGCGGTCATGGTGAGGATTCTTTGGACGAGGGGCTAGAACAACACTATGGAGGGAAGGGGAATGCGGCTAGAGCAAAGTGAGGGTTAGGGTTTTAAAACCCTAACCAATTTGAGTTGACAACTGGGCCGGTTCGGGTTGCTGGTTCGGGACGCGAGTCTTGGATTGTTTCTAGATCACTGTGTTAGACAACATGCTGGGTTTGGGTGTTCTATTGAGTCATAGGTTGCACTTGTATTCGGGCCTGAAATATGTAAATGAAATGAATAATATATACATATATATTGAATATAATATATATAAATATTATAAATGTGTCACATATGGTGATATAAATATGTAATATATGCGATACATAATATCACATAAATCAGGACGAAATGACGTGTCTACAAATATCAAATCTTTTCTTCATCAACGAATATATTATACTCTAACAACATTGCATAGAACATGGAATCAAATATTATATACATAAACGAAATAATTATTTTGCATAAAAGACAATTAATATTTCCATAACAAAACCAGTGGAGTGGCACTATGGAAGTATAAATTCAATGTGCTTATAACTATTTTATTATTAATAAAATGAAAAATGTTGTCAATAAAAATATTGCTGCAAAATAGAGTTGTTAGTATTGACTAACACAAATAATAAATAAATAAATAAAGTAAAGACAATATAATCATTGTTCCATGTAATTATTATTTTAGAAATAATTTCGTCGGTATTGATGTAATCTGGAAAGTGGATGCTGCCTAAAGGAATTTGTGTCACCAATAGTGAAGTATAGTTTGATATTTAAACAAAATGTTAGAGATAAATCAATAATAAATATAGATGATTATCATAAAATCTCAACCACTCTCTAATATCTTTCAAGTATAGAAAAAAATCTTCTCTAAACAATATTTATATTTTATTTAATTATTTGCATTATCCAACAAATACATGTTTCTAAAATTCTTATTAAGTCCACGCAATCAAACATAAAAAAGTTAAAAGTCATAATTACACAGTATCCCAAAATGTTTCCTTCATCGGGATTCTAATTGAAATTTTGCCTATATAAATAGTTTACCATACCATGCTTAGTACCATCACCTATATTTTTACTTTAACTTAGAAAATGTCTATCAAAATAGAATATGTTTTTATTTACGTGATTTTATCTAAGTTACTCATAATTTCTGAAGCACGTAGGTCTAATGGCCTGAACTCTCGAAAGAGTTTACCACGAGCAGGATCAAATTCTCTTCACCACAATCCTCCTCCTCATTCGTCGCCTCGTGATTTGAATAACATTGTGAAGAGAGATACTCCAGGAGGACCAAATCCCCTTCATCACAATCATCCTCCTTCATCACCTCATAATTTCGATATCATTATGAATAGAGATAAGCTGGAAACGCCAAATCCCCTTCAGCACAATCATCCTTCTTCGTTGCCTCATGATTTCGATATCATTGTAAAGAGAGATACGTCGGGAGGTCCAAATCCCCTTCATCACAATCATCCTCCTTCGTCGCCTCATGATTTCGATATCATTGTGAAGAGAGATACGCCGGGAGGACCAAATCCCCTTCATCATAATCATCCTCCTTCTTCGCCTCTTGATTTCGATACCATTGTGAAAAGAGATACGCCAGGAGGGCCAAATCCCCTTCATCACAATCATCCTCCTTTTTTGCCTCATGATTTCGGTATCATTTTGAAAAGAGATATGCCGGAGGACCAAATCCCCTTCATCACAATCATCCTCCTTCGTTACCTTATGATTTCGATATCATTGTGAAGAGAGATACACAGGGAGGGCCAAATCCCCTTCATCACAATCATCCTCTTTCGTCGCCTCATGATTTCGATATCATTGTAAAGAGAGATACGTGGGGAGAGATACGCTTGGAGGGTCAAATCCCCTTTATCACAATCATCCTCCTTCGTCGTCTCATGATTTCGATATCATTATGAAGAGAGATACGCCGGGAAGGCCAAATCCTCTTCATCACAATCATCCTCCTTCGTCGCCTCATGATTTCGATAACATTGTGAAGAGAGATACGCTGGGAGGGCCAAATCCACTTCATCACAATCATCCTCCTTCGTCGCCTCGTGATTTTGATAACATTGTGAAGAGAGATACGTTGAGAGGGCCAAATCCCCTTCATCACAATCATCCTCCTTCGTCACCTCATGATTTCGATATCATTGTGAAGAGAGATACGCCGGGAGGGCAAAATCCCCTTCATCACAATCATCCTCATTCGTCGCCTCATGATTTTGATATCATTGTGAAGAGAGATACGCCTGGAGGGCCAAATCCACTTCATCATAATCATCCTCATTCGTCTCCTCTTGATTTCGATATCATTATGAAGAGAGATACGCCGGGAGGGCCAAATCCCCTTCATCACAATCATCCTCTTTCGTCTCCTCATGATTTCGATATCATTGTGAAGAGCGATACGTCGGGAGGGCCAAATCCCCTTCATCATAATCATCCTCCTTCGTCACCTCATGATTTCGGTATCATTGTGAAGAAAGATACATCGGGAGGGCCAAAACCCCTTCATCACAATCATCCTCCTTTGTCGCCTCATGATTTTGATATCATTGTGAAGAGATATACGCCAGGAGGGCCAAATCCCATTTATCACAATCATCCTCTTTCGTCGCCTCATGATTTTGATATCATTGTGAAGAGAGATACGCCGGGAGGGCCAAATCCCTTTCCATCACAATCATCCTCCTTCGTCGCCTCATGATTTCGATATCATTGTGAAGAGAGATACGCCGGGAGGGCCGAATCCCCTTCATCACAATCATCATCCTTCGTCTCCTCATGATTTTGATATCATTGTGAAGAGACCAAACCCCCTTCATCATAATCATCCTCCTTCGTCGTCTCATGATTTCAATAGAATTGTAAAGATAGATACATTGGAAGGGCCAAATCCTCTTTATCACATTCGTCCTTCTACCTCTATTTCTCGAAATGACTAATCCTTGTAATTTCATTAGAACAATAATTTTAACTTATTTAAATAAAATAAGCATGTGGTTTTATTTATTATTTATGAAGTGATATATCTTATCTTCTTATAATAACTTTATTGTTCTTTTACTATATTATTTTATTTATTTTATGTTTTTATATTTCACACATTAATAACATAAAATTTTATACACTGTTAACGGATACAATTATGAATAATCTAACATAACCAAAGTTTCTGATGAAAGAGCCATGACATTCTCAAAGAAATTGATAAGTTTTGAATATTGCATATTTTTCCTATTATTTACTCCTCATTTTTCGCTTGAATATTACCAATTTATTTCCTTTTGGATTTACTTTGCACAAGAGCTTCATTAGATTAATTAGCAGCCCAAAACTAGCAGATTTTGATGGTCCAGTTAGTATATTCTAGAAGTCGAGTGAAATTATCTTGAATATTTAATTGAATTTTACCTAGCATAAGATTATGCATAAGATGAAGCATAATTCAACCAGAACTACGAGACTTAAATATTTAATTTTATCTTTTGTAGTTTCAAAAAAATTATCTTTTGTAATAAACCTATTAAATATAGAATTTTAGTTTGATTATTTTATTTATTATTAGTTATTTTATTTACTTAGAACTCTCGGGTTATAAATATCCCTTAGGTTCAACCTTTGCTCTCATATTGGAATTTATATTTCCTTGGCTATTTATTAAAGTTCTACTTTTATTTTATCTCTTTATTTTCTTTTCATTATGCTAAGTATGATCCAATCAATGCATAGTTAAACTCCATTAAGCCTAAAGTTTTATGAAGCTCAACTAAATTGTGAGAATTGAGTCTTGTTCTTCATAACTTCAGATAACATTATTCGGTTCTCTAGAAACTAGGAGTGGCAATCGACCATTCCTTTAAAGTTAATTCATCTTCAATCCAAAAAGACATCATTGGCTTGAAAGTTGTTTTGGCTTACAGTTAGGAAGATAGATCGATTGGTCATAATTCAACTTCCTATGAACAAACTTAGGTGTGATCCATTAAGGGAAATCAAGATCGAGTTCAATTTTCAGAGAGACGATATAACTTGAGTCGGGCTCTACCAACACTCAAAATTGTCTTGGTCTAACAGTGATAGACATGGTTAGCCCAACAAAGACCAAATTTCGGAGATAGACTTGGAATTTTCGGTTAACTTGAGAGAAGAGTTAGTTGCAAAGGTCGAGCTCCGTTAACTGTAATCAGCGTGCATCAAAGAGAGAAAATAGATTTCGATGATCGATCGAAATTGAGGCTAAGCAAAGTCTAAGGCTATATTATCACAATTGAATTTTCTACTTTATTTATTTGATTATTTATTTGTTTATTTTCTCATCATTTATTCATTATCTATTTTTACTATTTTATTATTTTCATTATTTCTAAATCCCCATATTTATTTTTGCAATTTAAACCAAAGGATCAAAACAAGCAAATTTATCAAACTTTCTTAGTCCCTCGGGATCGGCCTCTACTTTTCTATACTATTTTTATATTTATTTGAGATTAGAATATTTATTTAATTGACAAATTTAACGCTTGTTAGAAGTCATCCATGCTGGCATCTTCATCAGTCAAAGCTGCATTGACCCATGTTTACACATCACTCATTCTGGAAGCAAAGCTTGTGCCTTGAGTCTCTTCCATTTTAGAAATAGACCGTGTGAATTCATCAACGAAATCACTTATTTCGTCCACGCAATCCTCAACAGCCACAACCTCTTTAGGGTTTAGTTAGTCCCTGCGTTTTGCCGAGGTCCGTTGGTGTTTGTGAAGCCGAGAGCGTGGCGTTAAGTGCCATAGAGAGGGATACCATGACTAACATTTTGGGGTTGGCTTGGATTTCAGCTACGTAGTTAGAAAAGGTGGTGAAATACAGATCAGTGTTGGTGGTCGTATTACACCAAGTTCTGATATTGATGTTTGTATCTGCGTCGGAGCTGAGAATTTTTCAAACTGCTAAGCAGTTATTTGGGTGACTTGTAAAGAGAATGATGATGAAAATAGTTGCTGGTGAAAACTCTTAAGTAACTGCCATTTTACTTTCCTTTTCTCTTTAGCTGAAAAGATTGATGAAATGTTGGGGAAGAGAGGTGAAGACAACGCTTTTTTCTTTTAGAAAATCGTTCCTAAAAATACAATATGAATTTTGATAAAATAGAGTTGATATATATCGTTTTAATTTTAGTATAATTGAATATTCATAGCATTATACTTTTGAAAATATTTTTAGAATTTATTTCTATTTGTTAGATAAAATATTTTCTTTTAATAAAATGGAATAATTTTAAGAATTAAACCGCAGGGTACAAAATATTGGTGCAAAGAGAAAATAAAATAAAAGGTAAAGAAAATTTGTTACTTGCAGAATTTGTTTGTATATAGGCTAGAGAATTTTTAGATGAAATAGATAACACCGCGTGTTTAGTTCACACAAACATTTAATTTAAATTTCACTCCAATTTTTAACATTTGAGAGCTTTTATGATCTAAAATATCATTTTAAAAAATAAAAATAATATTTATGATAAATAAAAGAATGATATTATAATAATTGGCCTTAGAAAAAAAATGTTACTAATTTTAGAGATTCATATTTAAAATTAAAACAAAAATTAAGTTTAAGAATCAATTATACGAGAAAAAGATTCGAGCATTTCACAACGTAAAAAAGAATTACACTGACTTTGAAATTTTTTATATTGACAAAATAATTTTTAAAGTATAACACTTCTAAATAAACGACACTGGATCAATGAGTGTTGGTACAAATAGTTGGAATTCAGAAATTTGAACTTGTAAGGCTAAGTTCGAATACTATAACCGTCACTCTTGGTGGACAATCTGTAAATTCCTATGTAAATCTCAATTGGGTCTTAGGTATGCCCTGACACTGGAATGGATGAACCACCCCTAACCTTAACTTTTTTGTACAAAAAAAAAAAACGAAACCGAAACAAAAATATATTAGTAATAATAATAACAATAAATAATAACATGTTCAAGGACTGAATTAAAAAAAAGGAATTATAAAGACTAAATAGTAAAGAAATTAAAATTTATTTTATAGCGTGTGATTTTTTTTATTTTGAATTTTAAATATTATTTTGAATATTATTTTTTATATTTTAGTTTAATGTTTTTATTTTTTTAATTAAATAAACTTTCAAATTTTAGAAAAAAATTCAATTAGGCCCTAAACTTTATAAAAGTATCAATTAAAATTTAATTTTAGTTTTAATTTTTAATTTTAATATGTAAATTTTTATGAAATCTCAATTGTGTCTTATGTATTTCTAGACCCTGACTAGGGAACCATCCCTAACCTAAACTTTGTTGTACAAAAAAAAATAAACGAGACTGAAACAAAAAATATACTAGTAATAATAATAACAACAATAAATAATATAAATAATAACATGTTCAAGGACTAAATTAAAAAAGGAAATTATAAGGATAAAATAGTAAAGAAATGAAAATTTATTTTATAGCTTGTGATTTTTTTATTTTGAATTTTTAATATTATTTTGAATGATTAAAATTTTAATTTTAATATTTATTTTTATAATATTTATTATTTTTATATTTTAATTTAATGATTTTTATATTTTTTTAAATATTAAATAAAATTTCAAACCTAAAAAAAATTCAATTAAGTCATAAACTTTATAAAAGTATCTATTAAAGTTCTTTATCACATCATCATTTATTATGAACTGTCACGTCATCATCATGAATTATCATATTGACTTCATAATTTTTGCATCAATATTATAACGAGCAACATTTAATTCCATAAGTTAAAAAGGTTAAATTATTATTATTTTTAATTTAAAAATTACATTAGATATAAAATAAATTCATGAAACATATTATTTAAAATTTGACCTTATTTTTTTTAAATTTTCAAAAGAAAAATAAATAAATAAAACAAGGCCTTATATAAAAGCCCATCATCCCCCAAGCAAAATTTCCACATATACTCTATATACATAAAAAGAAAAAGAAAAAATTATAAAGTATAATCTGCGAAAAATTAAATTCAAAAAAGGGGGAAACACTAATTCCTGCAATGGCCAGAACTGATCAAGAAGCAATCGAAACTTTCATCGGCATCACTGGGGCATCAGAAGCTGTTGCAGTAGAAAAGCTCGAGGTAGTTTTTCGGAAACTTTTTAATTTAATTTATTTATTTTAGCTTGGTTGTCCAATTGGATTCTCATTATAGGTAAATAACTTATCGGATGCAGTATTGATTGATTTGTTAATTAATTGGATTTTTGTTGCTTCGCATTGTTGATTTAGTTTTGCTTGCGGTTGGATAAGAATTTTATTCAGTGACTTTAATCAATGGGTTATTTTAATGGATGAATGAATTATCCATAATTTCCCCCTTTTCAATTAGTTTTTATATGCGTATATTTCAAATGAACAAGCTTAAAAAAGGAAGAAATTGGATGGTTGGAATCCGAAAGGCGAAAATTGAATGAAATGACGAGGTTGCATTTTTCAAATTTGAAGTTTTGTTCTCTTTGTAGTTTCTTGAAAATGCATTTGATGTTGATTAGTATAATGCCTAAGGTTTTCTGAACCTCCAGTAGTTAGTCTCGAATCTCTTACAAAGGCTATAGAAGCAAGGGGCACTAAACATGGATTGGTGCCCCTTGAATGTTTTTAGTGATTTTAGAAGTCTTGCAGTCGGTGCCTTTGGAACTCTTGCATT